AAAAGATCCTTCTATAATTAGGAATAAATTTTGTTCAAATTGTAGTACAGTCGGGTTAGAAAAGACCATATTGTGCTTTAAAGAGTAAATATGCCCCGCAATCATAGTTTTAAATTGTCTTAGATTTTTTGAATTGTTTTTACGTTGTTGTAAACGTTTCGTTAAGTTCTGGCTTGTTCCTTCTATGTAAATTAAATTACAATCTAGACAATTTGATAGACGAGATTTCTAAGTCGTTCGATATATATAAAGGGGTTATTTTCGTAAAAATAGTACTAGTCGTTGTACTAAAATTGGTTACAAGTCGGAGTACAGATTTATAAAAAAGTTTTTTTCCAAGGAACATACAATTCTTTAATGTATGACAAACATATTACACCAGAATGAGTTTCTGAGTCAGGTAAATCGTTATGTACTGTGGAATTGTCCATTTTATTCAAAAGGTATATGTTCGTCTGTTACTGGTTACGGTGTACAGTACATAACGATTTACCTGACTCAGAAACTCTGAGTTTATATATGTATATATATATATATATATATATATATATAAATATACATATACGAGGTGTGTTCAAAAAGTACCCGGAATTACTAATAATTAAATTTCGCGGGTCTGGAGTGTCTGATTGTCAAAAATTTTTTTTTATTGTGTTGGTATACATGCCCCTAAAGTATGATGAAATTTTCAGCTATATTCACTGTTTACTTTGTCTGTGGTAGTCGCTAAGGTTCAACGTGTTTTTCTGAGCTCGGCGATTTTTACAATGGAAGAATTGAAAAGTCAAAGAATTTGTATTAAATTTTGCGTAAAAAATGAAATAAAGTGTTGCAAAGTGCAAAAATTCACCAGATATGGCTCCGTGTGACTTTTTCCTATTCCCAAAGTTGAAGAGACCCATGAAAGGACGGCGGTTTTCCTCGATTGAAGAAAATCGCTGAGAGTGCTCAAGGACATATCAAAAAGCGAATATCAAGGGTGCTTCGAAAATTGGAAAAAACGCTGGCATAAGTGTATTATATCTGGGGGGGACTACTTTGAAGGGGACCACATTAATGTAGACGAATAAATAAATATTTTTTTGAAAAAACGAAAATTACGAAAACTTTTTGAACAGACCTCGTATATATATATATATATATATATATATATATATATATATATATATACCTAATATCATATTAAATATTTCCACTGACCTATGATGGCTTTTTGCTCCTGATTGGGGCTAAACAGCACCCTCTCCAACTTGTTCCTGTCCAGCAATATATGAACAGTAACAAATCCCTTCAAAAGTTCACCTCCACTATCATCCTGCTCCAAAAATCCTCCTCCAACAGTCGTCGATAAAACTTTGTCTTGATTCACATCACTTTGCAAAGCCACTGTATCACTCGATATAAAAGAATCACTGATTTGTGTTTGTAATATTTGTGATGGGGTGCACTTGTTCTACGTTGTTGGGGAATCGAGATGTTTGAAAATTATTGGGGATGTTAGTCGATGGTTTTTAGATCGAGATGGTTTGAAAATTATTGGGGATGCTTAGTCGATGGTTTTTAGATGGTGGACTGGCTAGACCGATTTTCTTTGTACGGTATGGTTGTTTGGACTTGGATTTTGCATCTGAGTGTTTAAAACACTTTCGTTCACGATACCGTTAACCATGGATAAACCACTACTGTCTGATGCTTTGGTGACATCAATGGCATCCCCAGTCGTCTCCAAACTTTCAATAGTAGTCTCTGTATCAATATTTCTGGTACTCGAGTTAACTATATTGTGTGAAATCGTTAAATTCAACTGTTCACCTATAATGTTATCGACAGAGTGTTTTGCTGTCGATGCACCACCTGCACCACCTGCAGCTACATTTTTCAATTCCCCACCAGACTTGGTTTCCTCGTCAATCTTTTCTTTTTCCTTTTCTGTTAAATCGGCAACATTTTCTGTAGGATTCGGAACGATTTCAGTATTTTCGTCGGCTAATAGTGCGTCGGGCGCGGGTTCGATCTGTCGACGCTCCATGCGTTTTGCATTTTTACAGCAATTTCTTCATTTCGCGTCAATTTGACGCCGGAAGCTCACTGGGGAAAGGAAATTCAGTTAAATATATTAATGTGGAAAATATTGATTTTAAATGTATATGTATATATATATATATATATATATATATATATATATATATATATTTGAAATAAATTGCAGCTCATTCGTAAAAAAAATTAATATAAAAGCAATTCCTCATTATACATTTCGACTCTTGAGCCTTTAGCAGTCAAATTCAGAAAAACACAAAAACTAACGACTTAGCTAACGACATAACTAATAAATAATTAAAACAAAAACTAAAAAACAAAAAATAATGTATACATAAATAAAGATATACGGATTATTAAATATGTTAATAAAATTATTCTAATCAGCAAACTAGAACTATTTAATACGTTTGTTTTTCAAATTAAATTGTTACGTCAAATTAATCCTAGACTACTATTCACAATTTTTGTAACAACCTTTTCTAATTTGAATTTTTAGGTCAAATTTATTCTGGACTAGTATTTTGAACAGGTTTTTTTCAATTTAATTTTTCAGGTTAAATTTCTCCTGGACTACAATTAACGATTTTTCAACACGTTTCTTTCACTTTGAATTGAATGTCAAATTTATCCGGGATCCGATTTCTTTAATACGTTTTTTATTTCAATTTGAATTTTTAGTTCAAATTTATTCAGGACTACTATTCACGATTTTTACCACGTTTTTTTTCAATTTAAATTATGAAATTTATCCTGGCCTATTATTAACGACTTTTTAACACGTTTTTTTCAATTTGAATCTTATGTAATTTATCTTGAAACACTAATCACTATTTTTTTAAAACGTTTTATTTCAATTTCAATTTTTACGTCAAATTTCTCCTGGTCTTATAATATGATTTGTTAACATTTTCTTCAATTTGAGTTTTCTAAGTCAAATTTATCTTGAACTACTATAAACGACTTTTTAACACGTTTTTTCTCAATTTGAATTTTTAGGTCAAATTTATCCTGGACTACTCTTTTCACTGTTTTTAATACGTTTTTTCAATTTGAATTATATGAAAATTTGTCCTGGAAGACTATTCACAATTTTTCTACATTCACGATTTTTTTTATCCCTTTTTTTTAAATTTGAATTTTTAGATCAAAATTACCCTAGACCTACTATTAACTTTTTTTTTTTTAATTTAAATTTTATGTCCTGGACTACTATATTAGTTTTTAATAATTAGAAATTGAAACAAAAACAAAAAATTTAATTCAAGAGCAAAAAAATTGCAAAATATTATAGGCTTATGAAACATATATTATTTATGGAAAATAATAAAATTTAAACAAATACAAGTCATTGTTTTAAGAAAATCTTAGTTTAAAAATCGGTAAAGAAGTACATTTTTAAATGAACAATAAATATTTTTTTAAATTAGAAATTTCTAAAATTCTTAATAGGATTCTAGCGGCCAAAAAATTTCTTGTTTGGTAATCAAATTTAAAATTATTCATCCCTATTTCAAGATATTCAAAAAAAATTTAAAAAATCATAAAAAAAATTGAATTCAAGAAAACCACTAGAAATTCTAATTCGTATGTAAAAGGTCAGATGAGTCGTTTCTTTGTAATATGTTATTATTTTGTGTTTAAAAGTGAAAAGATTTAATTTTTATTTAATTAGAAAATCATTATTAAATTTACAAATTAATTTATATATAAGTTAGGATTCTAGTTGAATATTTTTTATTAAAAAAAGAAGTCAAATAGTTTTGTCAATAAAAAAGATTTTTTTTTAAACATCTTCAATAAACAAATAATTATAAATATTTTAATTTTATTCGAAAGATATCAGTTAGAAATGGTATTCACTGATTTTTGAGAAACATCAGTCAAGCTGTTTCTTCACTCTAAAAGATTTTTTCAAAATATCCTAATCTAATTAAAAAGCTTCAAATTTAGAAATCATGTTAATAATTGTTAAATCGGTCAAGCCATTTCTTTTACAAAAAACTTGTTGATTACTAAGATTAATTTTATATATCAAAAACTTGCCTGGTAAATTAATTTATCCAAAAGTTCTTCAAACAGGGCACTTTTTTCATCAATCAAAATCTTATTAATTTTATCTTATGGAACAGGACACGAACAAATCTTTATATCTATATTTATATTTAAAATATATATAATATTTATATAATATATATATATATATATATATAATTTATATAATATTTATATTTATATTAATAATTTATTATTATTTTCCACCTATGTCTATAACAGAAGTGACAACATTCGATTCAATTCTCAAGTATTTAAACAAAACAATTACTTGGAAGTTAAGATAACAAATATGTTGTTTTTTTTAATAGTTTACTCGTATCTTATGATAAATAGTCGATCTTAGCCGCATTAACCGCAATAAACCGCTGATAACGTTTAAATAACACTTTAACTAAATCAAAAATTAGATTTTTATAAATTATCTAAAGGTGATAAGTAGATAATTGATAGTTCCAATTGATAATGGTAACACGCGGTTTAATAAAATAATATAGATAGATTATAAAATTTTTATGCATTTAATAATAATATAATATTTTATTATATATTTATTAATTTTAATTACATTTATTAAATATCTATTTATTATGTATATGTATTTAAGTTGATATATTAGATTGTTGATTAATTTCTTACTAAACTAAAAATAAGAATATTTTAGATTTATTGATAAAAATAATTTTTTTATAGATTTTCATTTTTTTTACTTTTTTTTTATTATGAATAAATAATAAATTATTATGAATAATATTGAATAGTAAAATACCAGTAGTACTCCACTTTTTTGCACAACTTTTTAATAAACTTGCCAAGGCACTTTAGTACATTTGTTTGAAAAAAGGACTTCTCAAAATCGACCAATTTTGAAAATTTTAAATTCATATTTTAATAAAAAGTCTTAATTATAGAAAACTCAGGGCAATTGTATCATCATTTTTGACTGTGGCATTTACGATTACTGTTGCAACACACTTAAATAAACAAATTGATCAAAATTAACCACAATAATCTGAAAATTATCACATTTTCACCAAAAAAGCTCTGGTTTGCACTTAAAAGCTCACAACTTTCAAATTACGTGAGATAATTTTTTCTAAGTTTTTCATGATAGTTTGAATTAATAATATCATCTCGTTTCAGCTTGACGTTGAGTTCTGGGACACCATGTACAAATCTTTATATAAAATTTCTTCTGTACGGGTGTATGATTTGATACTTCTCCTAAACGGTTATTCGGATTTTGATAATTCTTTTTAGAGTTTGTCAAAGGAAATTTTTAAGACAAAAAAACCACTTATCATTGTTTGAACATTCAAAACATTTGAACTGTCATTTGCTAGAGATGTTAATTCACTTAAAATTTGAATTTGGTTGAATTTATGAGCCTAGATAATATTAGAATATAATATACAAGAAAAATGTTATGTGTAAATTATTATTGCCGAAAAGCAGCTGAGATGTGCCAGAAATTAAAATAATATAAGATACAGTCAAAA